GCCAGGTGTGCCGGGGCCTACGGGGCTGGGGAGCAGGCCAGGCGATGGCTGCTGGGGTCCCCGGTGTCCGAGACGAGAGTGGCCTTGAAACATGTGGTTGCGCTGGGTAGCCTTTCTCTGGGGCCTCGTGGGCCTGGTGGACGTGGCCAGCTGCCCTGCCTGCTGTGCAGCCAGCCGGCGTCGGTCACGGTGAACTAACCCGGTTGTCCTCACTCCCTTCTCGTGTCCAGCATCTACTCCACACCCTTCCTTCGCGACTGAACGCCAGGGGCTGGCGGGCAGCTGGTCGCTTCCTTATTCACTCTGGGGAAAAGCAGGCCTGAGTCCAGCCGGGTCGCCTGCCCCACAAGCCAGTCATACCTTCTCCCAGTGTCCATGCTCACTCCCACTGAATGAAGCCGCTGAAGTGATTCCTTCTCACCTGAATAAGCCCTTTACTGCTGAAAACTGGCTCCTTGATTTCTACAGGATAAAGGCTCTTCATGATCGGAGAGGCCTAACCCTGAAGTGAGCACCTGTGCATTTCTGCCTTCGGTTTACATATGTTGTTGGAGCGTTTACATATGTTTACATATGTTGTGTGCCTTCTGTTAGCTCTGTGGTTTAATACCCTTGTGCTTTAGGTAGCCAATTTTCTCTTTTGTAATACCCTTCTCTTTCTCCCACCGGTATGGAAAATGTACATCTGTCCTTTAAAATTCATCTCAGATTTCATTTCCGTGGAAAAGCCTCCCTTGCTTCATAAGTAACCATTGACTCCTCTGTACTTTTATTCACTGGGCTGCTGTTGAATAGATCATGTTGTGTCACGTGATAGTGAGTTTGGGGATTGTGTATCTGTACCCGAGTGTCTGGTTCTGCCTGACATTAACAGTAGGAACTAAGTCCCCTGGGGTAGGTTGTTGGTTTAAGAATGGATACTGATTCAGCTGTACCATTGAGCACCTACCAGGGCCCGGCATCGGAGGTGAACACAGCTCACCTGTGTTTTGTGTTTGTGCATGCATGCACATGCATGCATATGTGTGTGGTATGTGGTGCAGCCTTCTCAACTTTGATGGTCTAAAGTCATTTTTCAGAATACAGATTCAAGAGTCTCACTCTCTGAGACTGATTCAGAAGATCTGGTATCTGAATATATATTTTGAAAAAATTCCCCAGGTGACTTTACCATGCTTCCTGTTTGGAGACCATTGTCATTGCCTCCAGGAAGCTCTGTGTCTTGTCTTGTGGGAAAGACTAGCTGTGCCTTGTGGCCTCCCATTGCAGTCTCATTGCCCTGCCCATACCTTGGGGAAGCAGTATGATTTGATGATTAGACATAGGAGCTTTGGAGTCAGAAAGACTGAGAGTCAGTTCTTGGCTTTTATGAAATCTTGAGACTCGCTGAGTCCTAGTTTGCTCATTCCAAGATAGGAATAATCATCACTACTTTATGTAGTTGCAGAGAGGAGTGAGAGTGCATGTAAGATACTTCTCACAGTAGGAACTCAGCAAATGGAAGCCACTGTATTTACTAATGGCTGTTCTTCCCAGAATATGTCCCTTGTTACTAAGATCTCATCTTAGTAAGCCTGTTTGCTCTTCAGACTGATCCTCCTATAGGAAGCTGCCTTGTGTTATGTGACTTCCTCAACTCTGGTCATTGGGGAAAGCGCTGACGAAACTGCTTCTACTAAAGGCAGTTGTAGTTGGCTATTCCCCCAGGAGAGATTCGGAATGCTGACTCACTAGAGGGTGGGTTTGCTAAATAAGCACATTGTCCAGGTCTAATTGCAGTTCTTGCACTTGTTAAGTTGTATTAATGGGCTAGAGAAAATGCAGCTTTCAGGAAATTTATTTGCCTCTGACGCTGAACTAGAGTTGCCCCTCACCTGGAATGGAAGACCCCTGCAGATCTTCGTGTCTGTGGAATCTGAGCTAGATACTGGGGTTCTTTGTCAGTCACAATTATGGATGAGACTTTCGTTTGGCTTTCTATTTTACTTTATAAATGTGAACATGTTATGTGGGCAACTTCAATCCTCTTCAGAACTTCCCGGCTGCATGATGCGAATGGGCGATAGGTGTTCCAAAAACAGTGACTCTTAATTTTGGAGATAGCTGGGAACATTTGTCTCCATTGAACCCAGGGTACACAGAGAAAAATTTGAGAAATACAGCCATGGAAGAAGGGAAGCAATTCTGTTTGTTGAGAGCTGGAGAGAGACTTACTGATTTGAACTTCTTTTCCTTCCAAGAATCATACTCAGTGAGTATTAAGCTGATTTGTGTTGGCTAGGTCATCACTGAGCTAATTCTTGGTATAGCCCTCTGTTGCCATGGTGTCTAATGTGATGCTAAAGTAGAAAAATGTGGTGTTTAAACTAGAAAAATGTGGTATTTTCTTTTGCTGGGAGGAAATGATCTCAGAGGGACCCCTTCCAGGCTGCCAGTCTTTAAGTGGCCTCACTGGGCATTATAAGGGTAATGGACTAAAGAACTTTTGGTGTGGAACCATCTGGACTGTAAGTTCCCTGAGAGCACAGACTATGGTTCTCTTTTTTTTAATGTAATTAAATTAATTAGTTTATTTTAAAATTAATTTCAAAGAGAGGAAGGGACAGGGAGAAAGAGATAGAAACATCAATGATGAGAGAGAAACATTGATCGGTTGCCCCCTGCAAACCCCTCCTGGGGATCAAGCCTGCAATCCAGGCCATGTGCCCCAACCAGGAATTGAACGTGACCTCCTGGTTCATGGGTCCACACTCAATCACTGCGTCACTCCGGCCTGGCTGGCTACCTTCTTTTAGTCAGTCACATTCCCTGGCAAAGTTCCTGGCTCACAGCAGGAGCTTAGTAAATATTTGGGGATTGAACTTTGGGATGTTAGAAGGAGAACCCCAGGTACATTGCCAGAGACTGTATTTCTGACAACGGGATGGGCAGTAGGTGGGATGTCTTAGATGGAGTTGGAGTCCTGATAAAATAAGGAGGATACAACAACATTTGAACTTCTTTCCCTCTCTCAGTCATAAGGCAGGAGTTGGCCCACCAATTATTACTATGTCCTTAAGAAGTGAGGTCCCAAGTTACTATATTCTAAAAAGAAGTCATAAAATTTTCATTATGAAATAATACTAAAAGTTAAACATTACAGGAGTGAATAATGCAGTATCTTTATTTAACAAATATTAGAAATTTTTTGATATTTCCAACCATAGTAAAACAAAGATTTACATTTTTGATATTTATTTTATATATTTAAATGCCATTTAACAAAGAAAAATCAACCAAAAAAATGAGTTTGTGTGTCATCGGTTCGCCATCACTGATTTAGACTATCAGCTTATTGACCATGTTCTGCTTGTGTGTTTGTGTGTGTGTGTATATGTGTATGTTGAAATATAACCTATATTGTATGTCTTATTCATTCTTGTATCCTAGTAGATGTTCATTACATGTTTGACCTGGACTGATGATTTTATCTTCAATTCTGCATGTCATAATTAATAGGAAATTCTCAGCTCTCTTCTTTCACCCATGGGGCCTTCAGATAGACTTAGGGAAGGGCAGCCTGAGCAGAGTGACCTCTGGAAAGTAGTCCTTCTGCACTTCACCTTGCCCAGGGTCCCACCAGCCACAGGGTACTAAGAGATCAGGACATCTCTGTCTGGGAAACAAATAGGGAAGGCTCCTGTCCTCTCATCCCAAGGAAGCAGAGCATCCACATCCACAGCCGGAGTCACATCTAGATGAAGCTGCTAGTGCCCTTTCTGAGCTCAAGGCTCCCTAAAAAAATGAGTTTATGCCCTTTTGGTGGCTACAGTGTGCTACCTTTTGGTGATGGCAGTGTGCTAAGGCTTATTGTCCCAAGGTCACTGGGATTGATTTCAGCCAGCTCTAGAGCTTAATGTGGCATTTTCGCTATCAGTGTGGTGACTGGGGAAGTGAGTGACCTTGAAACAGGGTGCTACAATGCCAGGGTGAAGATGGTGCATTAGCAAAGTAGTGGGAGCTGTCCAGGAAAGAGAGAGGTTAGTAGGGCAGAGACGCAGGGCCGTGGGTGGTGGTTGCAGGGGGATCATGCCTGCAGGAGGCATAGAGGGCCGGGAAGGATATACATGAGGGAGGCCTTGGAGAAGCAGCTTTCTGAGCCCTGGTAGGTGATGGGGTTGGAGAGTCGGCCTCTAACACTCTACACCCCATTTCAGGAAAGATGAGTCTGAATAATAAGAGGGATGATTTTAACATTAAGAAAACATAAGACTGCTCGCCTTTCCCTCACTCCTCCCTCCCCATCTCCCTAGGCATGTTACCATTAGCTGCCTCACTCCCAAGGCCCAAAGGCCCTTCCTTTACCTCTATCGCTTATTTTCTAAGCCCATTTCTTCTAGGAATTAACTTTTTCTACCTCTGTGAATAAATGTTACGAATAAATGTTCTCTTATATATATAAAAAAGAAAACATAGAACTTCAACTAGGATAAGGAACCCAGGCAGAGTAGGGAGGAAGGTGGAGGCAGTAACAACTGAGCCTGTGCATGTTCCTACCCTCTCTCAGGCTTGAACAGCAGTGTGAGAATCAGATCCAGGGAGATGTAAATCAAGATTATGATGCTCAGATCCAGTATTTCATATAGACCAGCGGTTCTCAACCTGTGGGGTCACGACCCCTTTGGGGGTCGAACGACCCTTTCACGGGGGTTGCCTCAGACCATCGGAAAACGCATATATAATTACATATTGTTTTGTGATTAATCACTATGCTTTAATTATGTTCAATTTGTAACAATGAAAATACATCCTGCAATCAGATATTTACATTACGATTCATAACGGTAGCAAAATTACAGTTATGAAGTAGCAATGAAAATAATTTTATGGTTGGGGATCACCACAACATGAGGAACTGTATTAAAGGGTCGCGGCATTAGGAAGGTTGAGAACCACTGATATAGACCCTCCATTGAGCCTGGGCTCTGAGCACTTAGGGGCCAAAGCCATCCTCCCTTCCAGGAAACCATATTAGAGCCAGGTCTTCAGGCTAGGGTTATCGAGGGACAAGGAGGAGGCAGGAGGTGGATGGCTGGTAACCCTTCAGAGGTGTCCCCAGTTATACTGAGTTGTCCTCTCTTCTGTTTGTGTAGGTGTAGACGGGGCACTGCTTGCAGAGCAGGTCCTGCCAGCCTCGCTGGAGAGGATGCCCCCGTGTCCGTGATGGGCTGTGGGACAAGCAAGGTCCTTCCCGAGCCGCCCAAGGATGTCCAGCTGGATCTGGTCAAGAAGGTGGAGCCCTTCAGTGGCACTAAGAGCGATGTGTATAAGCACTTCATCACAGAGGTGGACAGTATTGGCCCTCTCAAAGCTGGGATCCCAGCCGCCAGTCAGTGTGCCAACCCCTGCCCGGGCGTCCCCACTACCGGCTACACAGAGCCTCCTTCAGAACCACCACGCAAGGCCAGGGTGGCTAAGTACAGGGCCAAGTTTGACCCACGTGTGACGGCCAAGTATGACATCAAAGCCCTGATTGGCCGAGGCAGCTTCAGCCGAGTGGTACGAGTGGAACACCGGGCAACCCGGCAACCATATGCCATCAAGATGATTGAGACCAAATACCGGGAGGGGCGGGAGGTGTGTGAGTCGGAGCTGCGTGTGCTGCGCCGGGTGCGCCACGCCAACATCATCCAGCTGGTGGAGGTGTTTGAGACTCAGGAGCGTGTGTACATGGTGATGGAGCTGGCTACTGGTGGAGAGCTCTTTGACCGCATCATTGCCAAGGGTTCTTTCACGGAGCGTGACGCCACACGGGTGCTGCAAATGGTGCTGGATGGCGTCCGGTATCTGCACGCACTGGGCATCACACACCGAGACCTCAAGCCTGAGAATCTGCTCTACTACCACCCAGGCACTGATTCCAAGATCATCATCACCGACTTTGGCCTGGCCAGTGCTCGCAAGAAAGGTGACGACTGCCTGATGAAGACTACCTGCGGCACACCTGAGTACATTGCCCCTGAGGTCCTGGTTCGAAAGCCCTACACCAACTCAGTGGACATGTGGGCACTGGGTGTCATTGCCTACATCCTGCTCAGCGGCACCATGCCCTTTGAAGATGATAACCGCACCCGGCTGTACCGGCAGATCCTCAGGGGCAAGTACAGTTACTCGGGGGAGGTGAGTCTGCCCTGTCCCTCCGCTGTTGGGCAGCCCATGGGCGGGGGGTTCTGTCCTTCAGCTTTCCATCGGAAGAATGTGCTCTGATGGAAAAATGATGAAATATGACTAGTAGGGTGTGTGAGTTTGGGTTCCCCCCAAAATGAACCCTGAGACAAGGACTTGGGAGCAGATCATTTAATTGGGATGTGATTCCAGTAAGCATAAGTAAAGGGTGGGGAAAAAGGCAGAAAGGGGAGAAGCCGATAAAGGGTACATTAAGGAGAGGACTGTCACTGTGGTCCACTGGAACTCAGTCCCACTGGGGACGGTGAATAATCATGCGGAATGTGTCTCAGAATTGTACCCTTGAGGGGCAGGGAAGTGAATGGGTTTTAATTCATTGACTCCTGTATGAGTCAAGAATATCTTTGGGAGCTTTAAATCCCTAACACTTCTGGGGTGTCCTGAATGCCAACTAGTGTCAGAGAAAGTCCTCAGGCAAAGAAGCAGAGAGCTGCAGGTACTGGCAGTGGGAAGCTGTTAGCACACACAGGAGCACTGCAGCTATAGGTGCGCTTAGGTGGGCTGATAGGACATGGGGCAGGGCCTCCACAGTATCTGCTCCATAGGGATTGGGGCAAGCTAGAGTGACCATGCCCTGTCTAAAGGAGCAGCTGCTTCTCATCTCTGCCCAGCTTTGCCCCACAGCAGTGAGGACCCGATACTTCCAGATATTCCAACTTTTGAAAGAAAATCAGAAAAATCTGATCTTAAAATTTTGGAATTGACTCATATATTTAAGCAGTATCCTGTGTGCCAACAAATGGTAATCTGCAGGCCAGATTCAAACGGCTGGTCGTCAGTTTGTGTCTTTGGCTCCAGTGATAACTGAAAAAAATCCATTGGGTTTCAGCACTGCTTAGAACTGCAGGAAGGTGCAGAAGAAGTAAGGGCTGGTTGGTTCTTAGGCAGGACGCTGACTGGTAGGAAATGAGGCTGACCTCAGGAAGCAGGGCTGCAGGCATAATGGTGTGCTCAGGGAGGCTGTGAGGAAAAAATTGTTTTATGACTTTACGTAGGAGATAAGATGAGCTTTGTAGGAGGACAGGATTCTGCCAAGGCAATAGGGGCCCATCCCCAAGTGCCTCTTACAGAGTGTTCCCCCCAGTGTGTCCCTCAGGCCTGGGCTTGCTGAGGAGCTGTCTGTGTCTATTGAATAATGTCATGGAGGGGAGGGAGCTCTGGGACTGGATTCCTTCAGCCCAGCTTTCCTCCCAGAGATTTCAGATTGGGCCTTCTCTGGCCCCAGCTGATTGACCCAGAGCAGCGTTACCTGCAGGAGTCACCTAAAAGCCTCATGCCACTTTGCCTTCAGCACTTGAGGTCCTGTGCTGCATCATCCTCCCTGACAGCTTCCAGCCATGGTCATGTGGTCAGTCAAGGACTTCCATCCTGTGTGGATGGGGCTGGCATTCTCTGGGGGATTCAGGTCATGTATCTCAGGGTGGTGTGAGGAAGGGAGGGAGGCCTTCCTCTTCCGGCCACCTCAGTGCTGGCTACAAGCAAAGGAGAAACTAGAACATTCTCCAGCTCTCCCCTAAAGTTTCTCATGTTTTCTTCTTTGCTCCAAATGGCAGCCAACAAAACAAGTATTGACTGGCTGGGATGCCCACGCTGCAATATAGTGGTCACAGAGGACATTGTCCTATTCACTCCCTGGGCCGGGTTTCATCATGGGTTGGAAGACCCAGAATCCACCTCACAGAGGCAGTGTTGTGCCTAGGCCAGCCGTGGGCAAACTACGGCCTGTGGGCCGGATCCGGCCTGTTCGGCTGTTCTATCCGCCCCGCGGAGCCAAAAGAGCGGAGGGGTTCTCTTGCTCTCCCCTTTGCTCCTTCACCAGCAGCAGTGTTAACATGTATTAGTGCACACAAACACTCCATCCATGCTTTTGTTCCGGCCCTCCGGTCCAGTTTAAGAACCCATTGTGGCCCTCGAGTCAAAAAGTTTGCCCAACCCTGGCCTAGGCCCTGCTAGTTTGCTGTGCTCTGGGAGTTCTACCCCCTGGAGCTCTGTGTGGGTCCAGATGGCAGAGGGAGTAGCAAGTTTAGCTATGGGAGGGAGGGAAGTTCCCCAGAGATGCTGACAAAGAAAGACCATTTAGAAAAGTCTGTAGTTTTTCCCAAGAGTTCCTGATTCTGGCAATTGTTGAACAGGCAATTTATCTAATTGGAGTCTTGCTAACAGGCTATTGATTATCTGAGGGTGGAGAATGACAAATGAATGCGGTACAGAATGGACTCGGGCTTCCTGCTCCTACTGTAGCCATTAGACTGGGTCCTGAGATTCTACTTCCTGTTCTGCTGGAATCATAGGGGTCTAGTAGCAGAGAGAAGCACACCAAGTTGGTCCTCTTCAATACCCTGTCTCCCACAATCCTGACAGTCTAGGTACTCTCGCCCCAACCCTGGCCTCAGGCTTTATCCCATTCCTTTATACACCATAGACCCAAGACATTTGCTCAACTCCCACACTAAGCTTTTGCTCAGGCTTTCCCCTCTGCTCCCAATGTCAGCTTTAGAAAAGGTCCAATTCAAACACTTCCTTTCCAAGTAATTCCGACCACTGCCATTGTGTAGTGCCTACTGAGTACCTGGCACCGGACTGAGGGTTCTATATCCACCATCTCTAATCTCTACAACAGTCAGTTTAATCACTCCCATTTTACAGATGAGGAAATTGAGGCTAGTGAGGTTAAGTAACTTGTCCATGCTCTCACGGTTAGAGGGTATCAGGCCTGGGATTCCAATCCAGGCCATCTTGGTTTCAGAGGTCTTGGCTTTCACATCCCTGCAGTCTTCTGTCCCTGACACATGCCTCTGCATGTTACTGGAGTCTGATTCTGCACTTTCTCAGGCTGAGAGTTGTCTATGGACATCTCTCTCTTCCTTGGCTAATGAGGCCCTTGAACACAGTGTGTGTATCAGTACATAGGCTCTCAATACTTTCTCTTGACTTCTTCTGAGGGAAGCACCAGTGATTGTTGGTGATGACCTCAGAAGGGACCCAAAAATTACTGGCAAACCCGGCTGCCCGTGGTGGCTAGGAGTGCTCTCTTCTGGAGGCTGGATTCTAGGAAGAAGTGGGGAGCCTGCTGGCGATGTTCTTAGAGGGTTGCTGGCCAGACCTACTTAGAAGTAAACAAAGGAATCTTGCAAGAGGAGGGAGTGATGGGAAGAAGAAGACTGACAGATGATTTTGAGGGGAAATTTGAATACTTACTTGGTGACTGGAGGTGCTGGAGTGGAGAGGGCCAAGCTAAAGTCGCAATGGAAGTGATGGGGAGATGCACTGACCAGATGTGAGGAAGGCCTGTGTGATCAATCTGAAGACACAAGGAGCCACC